CTGGTCAAATCGATCGTACCCAGGGGCAATTAAAACTGTTTCAAAGAGATTTCTCAAACTGAATAATTCATAAAGGAAGTATATTAAGTCTGTTTTTTTTTTAAATCATAGGAAGATTACAGACATTTTTTGCCAAAATTTATTCTAGATTTTCTTTTGAAGTATGGATTTGTTTGAGAAGGCATATCCAACAATTGCAAATGTTTTTCCTATGATTTCTAAATATGGACAATTGCCTCAACCTGCTTGTCCGTATATCGGAGGGAAAACACTTGTTCATGTTGAATATATTACGTGAAACATAAATACAATTTAATTTTTGAAATAATTTAAACAAAGTGGTTAATATCATAATATCCACATCTTGACAAATAAATGTTTGTATTCTATTATTTATATTGCTTTAAGAGAAGTGCAATACAAGACCAAAAAAGTTTCATTTGTGATGAATATTAAAAAGAGAAAAATCAACAGTTTATATCAGTTTTAGTAGTCCCCGCCATTTTCCAGAACTGACGACACGTGATTTGGTGGCAAAATTTATCCCAGATGTTCCGGAGATCCCACTGCGTCCCTGCTCATTATTGTAGTATCTTAACCTTAAAACCCAACAATGCTAAGTAACTCCCTTGTTAATACAGCTGTCTAGTTCTCCTCGAGGTGCCTGTTTTTTTCCAGCCGGAAGTGCTAACTCCCGGATGTTATACTCCTTTTTTCCTGGATTAAAACCAGAGTCCCTGCAACATAACATCTAAACTAATAATGTCAACACTATAACCTAACAGTTTGTAGTCCCTTAGTGTTTTATACTCTAAAATTAATGTAATTACTCACGAATAATAGTCCGGTGTCTGTCTATCTCTTTGCGGATATCGGGCTGTTGGAACTGCATTTTCTTCGCTAACCACTTGTTGGTCTGGAACGGGTTGCTGGTTGATATCTGGATTCATGACATCATTTTCGTTTTCTTCTGGTGTTTCTCTATGGATCACCTGATCTTGATGGCGATGAACCTCGCGGTCGTCTTCCAACTGTATGGTATAGGAGACTGGCTCGGTTTGTGTATTGATCACTCCTGGACACCACTTTTGTTGTTTTCCATATTCTCTCGAATATACTAAATCACCCGGTCGTAATTGTCGATCCACTGCATGTTGATCGTGTAACTCTTTCTCCTTCTTCTGTTGGTCCTGTACTCTTTGTCTTACATCTGGATGTAGTACGTCCAAGCGAGATCTTGGTTTTCTGCTCATAAGCATTTCCGCTGGCGATATCCCTGTGGTTGAGTGTGGCGTGATACGGTATTCTGGTTTCCAAACTTTCCTTATTTGACATCTTCTTCATCCCTTCCTTAAATGTCTGGACCGCCCGTTCTGCAAGTCCATTGGAGGCTGGATTATAAGGAGCAGTCCTTCTGTGATGAATGCCGTTTTTCGCCAGAAATTCTTCGAATTCTTCACTGCAAAAATTACTACCGTTATCACTAACAATTGTTTTAGGAAGGCCGTGGATTGCAAATGTTGATCGAAGTTTTTCAATTGTTGCTCTCGATGTTGCCACATTCGTTGGATGCACTTCGAGCCATTTTGAGTACGCATCGACCATGATGAGGAACATTTTGCCCAAGAATGGACCAGCATA